GTATGACAAAGTTAAAAAAAACCCCACATCTCAATTTGTCCTTTGAAATTCAAATTAATGGTTCTTGTGAGATGAACACTTCCTGATGCTTTATGATAACTTGGATATGAGTCCAGGCTTTGGAGCTGGCCTTACCTCTACATAATTTCATTTCCTGCTGTATGACAAAGTTAAAAAAACCCCCACATCTCAATTTCTCCTTTGAAATTCAAATTTAATGGTTCTTGTGAGATGAACACTTCCTGATGCTTTATGATAACTTGGATATGAGTCCAGGCTTTGGAGCTGGCCTTACCCCTACAGGGGGACATTCTACCACCCCAAAACTTGCTACACACAGGGACTGTCCTGCTGTGTATCTTTCTACAGGGGGACATTCTACCACCCCAAAACCTACTACACACAGGGACTGTCCTGCTGTGTATCTTGCAGTAAGTTTATTGATTTGTAAAATTCTTCCTTAGCAAAACGGCCAACTAATAACTGTGCGCATCATGCAGGCGGAGGAGGTGCAACGTTTTTTTGACAGTCCTGAGGGTCATCGATCACAGTGGGGAAGAGAATTTCTGCTGCTGTTGTGAATTAAACTGGGTAGCAATTGCTGCCATGGTGCTGAGGGAGTTCAGTCGGCGCAATAAACCAGAGGGATTCTTGTTCTTTGTAGATCAAGAAAAGTTTGATAGTGCTTCCTGGGGGAAATCTAAAGTCATCTTGGAAACAATGTAATAGGGAGCTGGAAAATCCTTATATTCCTCTGTGCTTTAATTTTTAAGCTCTCGACTCTTCAAAAATGGGAGAAAATTCCATGTACAACATCCCTACAGTCGAAATTTTCTGAAAGTGGTCACTTATTTTTAGCTGCACATACCAACTGTTTCTGTTTACTGTACAGCTTTTGTTTTGCTCTGCAGAATATTTATCATTTTCATTCTTGTCCTCCACAATATGTGCTAATTCACTCTATTTCATTCCATCATTTCAAACTGCACTCCAAGTTTGGTGTCCAATGCCCTAATTTCTCCAATCCAAACACTGGCAACTGTGTTTCAATTTGGTCATGCTACTCCAGAGATACACTTAAAAAAATTAAACGTCCAGCTGTCCTTTGCAGTGACAGCTGCCTGAGATGAACTAGCTTGAAATGACAGAGATACAAACCAACAGGAGGATACAAATTACAATATACAAACCACTTTTGTAACCTAATACACGCCGCTAGAGTGAAGCCGTTTTTTCAACATCACTATTTCCAACCACCGTGGTCATGGTTTAGCACACAGAATCGGATGAAGCCGTAACACCTTCACTGTCATGCACAGCAGTTAGAGGTAATTTTTCTCAGACCTGCTTTGGTGTGACGCTATCCCTGAGGTACTCGGCACTGTTGTACTTTCAGAAAACATCTGAAAGCTGCAAGTGCTTACACCTCTCCTTAATACTTCAGTGGGATGCCTAGCGCTGTGGTACTGTTGTGCACCACTTATCTCTCTCACTCACCTGGAATTCAGATTAGAGTTCACAGCGCTATGGTTTTCCTCCTGCGGATGGGCTTTAGTTGCCGTTCTTCCATTGATCCTGCACCCCGTGGCTCCTGTGGCTGCAGAGCAGAGCAGTTGGTGCAGTTCCAGTGACTAATTCCTGCATGGCTTCCCAGAATATCGCAGATGTGTCCATAAGGAACGTGCTTTCAGAAAATGCATGTACGTTGCTAATTCCCTGCAAAGCGTACCTGCACCTCAGAAGCCCTGGTAACACTTGCTCTTACTTTCTGCTACTTACAAATGATGGAGCCACCTGGCTTCTCTCAGATAAGTTCCTTTGCCCTTCCTCTTGTCATCATGACATACTCCTCTTCTGTTCATCAGGTGATGGTATTTCTGTCATGGCTGGGAGGGTGTTGGAATGAGAGACCCAGCAGTGCATAACATCCAGTTGCATTCTGGTCTGGTCTTCATATATTGAAACAGCACAAAGTGTATGGAAATTTTGGTGTGCATTTGGGTTTTGTTTGCTTTGTCGGTGAAACAGCATCTCCCATAACCAGCTCGACAGTGGTTTGGCAAAAGAGAAAAATGGGCTATATGAAAAAAGTCAGTATTGAAAGTGCTTCAGGGTATCCCTAGAAAAATTATTTATTGAAGTCTGAAATAGCTTAGTAAAAAAACAATGAAATTATGGCAGAAAAATTCTTCCTTCTGTGAGTCAGAAATCACTCCAAGCTGTGTGGAGGTTTTACCCTCTGCTTGCCTTGTATTCCACAGATGCCCTGTATTTTCAAGCCGTGTGCCTACAGTGGGTAATTAACTACCAAGGCCTAACCCCCATAGTGGGGAGACACAACAGAGGAAGGAAAAAGCCGCTTGGATTCTCCTTTCTCTAACATTACAGCAGAAGTTCAGGTGTATAAGAGACAATGGAGAAATGCTAACCTGAAGACTAACTGCTACAAATGCACTAACTTATATATCCCTGGAAAAAAAGGAGATGAGAAAGACTGTTTGCATTGCAGCAGTGGCACTGGCTTATTAACAAGTGGCATTAATTAAGATGTCCTGACTGCAGGGAAATCAAGAAGCAGAGATGCACTCTCATCCCTGATGTCTGGCTCATTTTATATCTCCACGAGATTTCCCACTGATGTGTTGGAGAAGAAGACCTCCACCCCGCTCCAAGAGCTTCGTGGTCCTTTCCCCTCCTCCCTTCTTGAATGCTGTCACTCCATGTGTATTCAATGTCATGGAAACACCAGGAGGAAGAAATGCCCAGTCTTAACCACCAGTTTACTGTGATTCAGAACTGGGTATAGGGCTGATTACAGGAGCTTTAAAAATGACCCACAGTTGTAAAGCTCAACATTTATTAATGAGTTGTTTTCTTCAGGGAAGAGAAGAATTGATGCTTGCCCTCAGAAGACACATGAAGAAAACTTGTCCCTCAGGGATGCTGTGAGCACGTGGAAATATTAGCTTCTGAAACCAAGCTGCATGCACTGCATGAGAAGAGGCTGGAGGTGACTGCCTCTCCCCTTCCCAGGAAATGTCACTGCTCTCAATGGCAATTGCAATCTGACAGCTTAAGTGACAAAGAAGTATCCTGTAGCATTTTCACTGTCATTCTTCTGAGTGGAGGGGTCAGGCTGCACACCAAATTGTGTGTTATTCCTTGGTTATCTGCGAGTTCAGTCCTTTACCCTCAGGTCTCTCACAAGCAAGACTTTCTGATGGAGCAATTCACTGTTCCCATCTGCTCCATACACAGAAACACTCACACAACAGCCCACTCGGGACAATTCACTGCAGTTAATTGTTATGATGGGTCCCTCTAAGTCATGTGGGATTGTTTGTAGTGTGTCACTGCATCACTCAAATTATTCAGGGAAAAGAATGACGTGAGGTTTGTATCCCAGTGAATGGCAAATACCGCTATTCTTATGCCAATCTTAGGTTTGGGCTTTGTGTCAGTGACAAGCCTATTTGGTGACAATAAAGGAAGTGGAATGGGAGAAAATGGCCCAAGAGAGTATCTTTGTTTTGTGCCTCTCATTCCAGTCCCCCTGGAATGTGAGGAGTAGCGCTGAACAAAGAGAAAGCTCTTACAGCATTGAAACAGACTGATAAAGCAGCGATGCCTTTGTGATAAGCTGCTTTTCTGTTCATTCGGAAGGTCAGTGGTCCAGTTTTACTCATAGTTTTTAATGTGATAAAGATCAGATGTGCAAAAGCATCCCCGATTTGACTGGGTCTGTGCTCAGTTGGACTAGACAACTAAATTTAGGAGCAACTTGAATCAGCAGGTGATCAACAGCAGTTGTGGGACTTGTTCAAGCAGCCAACTCCAAACTCTCCTCTGTGTGCTTTAGCCAGGAAGGGACCAGCCAGGGAGCTCACCCATGCACTTCCCCAGAGATCTGTCCAGGACTTTGGGAATGGAAATAGTAGCAGAGCTGATGCTGGTTCTTTTTTTCTGTTTTATCCTCTATCTTCTAAAATAAATCCAAAAGTCATCCAAAGCAGAGAAGGAAGTCTACCCTGCCTGTATTTCTGAGTGACTAGCTGAGGACAAAAATTACTTCCTAACTCCTGTTCCTGCTCACAGGTGATGTAACACTTCACCACCTCACTGTCTCACGTTAGTCATCAGAGCTGGCGAGTAAGTGCCCACTGGTTTATCTTAAATACTTGTGCACCCCAGATTTAGCTTCCTTCCACACTGTTTCTGTGTAGTTTACCTGAAGAGCCGTAAAACGCAGAGCCACGCTGCTTTAGTTTTCAATCTGTTGGCAAATTTAATCATCAATGGACAGATTGGCTTTTGAGTACACAAAATAAGATTACAACAGAGAGACCAGTTTTGAACATTCAAATGAAGACAAAGTTAAGTTTGAAACTGGCTCTGCAGCCATCTGGCAGCCCTGAGCTGCCTCAGCTCAGATCCATCCTGCACTGAGGTTACTCAGGAACCTGAGGTTGCTGAAATTGCGGGTCTGCAGAGTCAGCTGCCAGGAGGCTGGGTGTTACACATGGAAATTACCTAATTTCAGTGGGAAGACTGTAGAATAAGAAATTACAGGAGTGGGCTCCTGACACACAGTTTCAAATGAGAAAACAGTAATAGGAAAGGGGGGTGGGAAGTATTAAACACACCCTCCAAGTTAAAAACACATCAGGAAGTAGTGGGAATGCTTCCCTTTATATACCCTCTCTGCTACCAAGTAAATCAACTGCCTATGACAAGGTCATCAGGGAGGCTACTCTATAGGAGAAGACAAGGGCAGATCGCAGCTGATAAGCCTTTTCCAGCTAAGCAGCATTACAAACAGAGCAAAACCTCCTCCGCAAGCATGATTCAGGCTGGTGAGCAGAAATCCCAACTATCTGCTGTCAAAAACTGGGGGTAGCAGTCTCCAGCATCCCAGAAGATACACACTTGCTGTAAGCCAAACAGATGAGGCACATGCAGAAAAATAAAAGCAAAAAGAGAGCGAGCAAGATACAACTTACAGCAATGAGCTGGTAGGAGTTGTTCATCATGGCTATGAGCATGTTCAGCAGCACAACGAGGGAGATGACATTGTAGGTCCCAAACATAGTGGCCCCAACAAATTCTGTGAACTCATGTCTGGCTTTCACGTTGGTGACGTAGAGATTCAGCAGACCGAACACAGACCAGAAGAGTGACTGGAGGGTCTCAAAAAGTCTGCAAGTAAAACCAGATTTTTACTTGGCTACCTGACTCTGAGGAATGGAAAACAATGCCTGGTTCAGGTGGGGAACACATAGACATCAGGAAGGCAATCTGTGCTCCAGCAACAGTGACCCATTTGCCAATGCAGGTGTGAGCTGTGTCCCATCAACAACATTTGCTACCTGTCCCAGAGCCCTGGCCCCATCCTTGTGAGATGCAATGAGCCTGACTGCCCTGAAGAAACCTAAGGTTCCCTTTCCCACTCTATATACATCCAAAGAACAGCCACAATATATTCCCTCTAATTAAAATTGCTATGCTGTGATTTTGCTGTTATCTATAGATATAAACTCTCCTGTTTAATTAGTGCCTGCATCATTAACGTGTCTGCAGACTAAGTGTTCAGGGAACCCATCCCCAAGCACAGCATGACTGTAGTAGTTAAACAGCTCACAACGAGACACAGCGAAGGAGGAGATGTGAGAAATCATGTCCACTTGCACATTTTGCTCTAATATAGGCTGAGAGCTTGCAAATTTTTTGGCTGCAAGTGACCAAGGCCAGTGTGCTAAGACACCATCTGCATGCAATGAATGTCGCCGAAAATGCTGGTCACTACGGCTTGTTTGTGCAGCGGCTCCCACCCACCACTATGCAGTGCCCTCAGCAGCACAATTGGTGCCGCAACAATTGATCAGTAATGACTCAGATGAAAGAGTCATCACATTAATTCAGCTCGAGAGGTTTTCTTCTGATGAAGTCTTCCTTCCACAGATGAACTAGACCTGACCTCGTTGTGCTTTACAGCTGATGAGATCATCCCAGGTCTCTGTTGGCTTCAGCCAGAGACAACTGACCCTTTGCCATCACGGCAAATACATAATCAGCAATCTAAATAATTGCTCTATTTGGGCATCTTTGGTCTGGCTTTCCAAATTATGGCATTTATATAATAAAAATGACATTTATATGCCTGTTTAAGAGTTTCCATTTTGGCTTGAGGTCAGTAGATATTTTCAAATGCTCCTACTATAAAAAATCAATACAAATAATTCAGATACTTTACTTGATATACCTGTTCTTGATATGTCCTATACTTGCTATATACCTATCCTTGATATATCTGTTCTTCTGGCTTCTCTGGGCATCTGTTCCACATGTATCCTTGTGTTTTTAATCAGGACTTAGTTCCTTTGTATTTTGTGGACGTATCTTATGTTCTTCACTGGCTAAAATTATAAAGACTCTTTAAAGCTAAAATCCTTTCTCCCAAAAGTCAGGCTGTTTGTCAGATTTGTTAAATAATTGAGGTGGTAAAATAAGGATTAACCAAAGCATGCTAAGCATTTCTCTACTAAAAATGGTGGAGCACTAGCTATCTTTTAACTTATTTTAACTGTTAGCAGTAAAAGTACTGATGAGGCGTAGGCACAAGGGAGACAGAGGTTGCTGACAGCGTATATTTTGGATATTAAGCAAACAGACTTCCTCCACCTCTTCCTCTTCTTTGTTTCTCTCTTCTCCATCAGTTGCCAGAACCACAGCGATAATCATATTTTCAATTTGTCTGTCTAAGCAGTAGACACTCTGCTTTCTAAGAGATGAGGCGGCCAAAGCATAAAACCTTAAATTATTCATGACTTCACCTCATTGCTGTCACAAAGGAATATTACTTTTCCATGATCTGTGTTTGTGATGCAGAAAATTTCCTCACCAACAAAATATTAAACCCATCCTTTGGGAGTAATAGGAAATAATGCACCAGTAAATAGGTGTCACATTTTAAACAAGCTGTACAAACACGAGTGGCGTCCTGCTTTTCTTTCCCTTACAAAATTAGATCTTATTGTGTGACTGCCTGGAAATGCTGGTAGGAATCAAAGGGTACTGATTGAAAGCTTTTTACGGTGACTTGAATTCCCTCCAGCCATGCCTGCTCTCCCCAGCCCAACGATATAATTTTAGGTTTTGCCGGTTGCTCGTTCTTAGCCAGTCACCCATGCTGTGCCTCTGCTTGAGGGCCAAATGTCAGCTTGCACCGGGGGTGTTAATAACGACTATTTAAACTTTTAAGAACATGTTAAATAAATTTCTTAAGCAAGTCTCAAAACAAAAAGTAACTGCAGAGCATTCTGTCCCCTGCCAGGAGCCCTCAGTCCTAATGGATCCCCTCCCACTGTGATTCTGTTTTAAACAAACCTCTTCCACAAAGGCTGAGCCCCCTCAATTTCCTTTCTGTGCTCCATTCTCCTTGGCAGGGGGCTTAAACTGAATGTTGGGGTGGGAGAAATTGTGGTCTGTATTTAAGCTGATCTGCACACTTTCTGTTAAGTGGCTCAGTAGCATTTCTAGTTCCCAAGACATTACACCTCCTTACAGATTTGAGGATCTATTTTTCTTTTTTTCCTGCTATCTTTTTCTTTAGTGAAATCCTGCTGTTGTTTTCTCTACTACCCTGCTGACAGTGAAATCTGTAAAACAACTGGTGTGCAATGGAGATGGGTCCAAACCACACTGCAGAATATATCTGTTCACCTGAATACATCTGTTAACCGTAGCTCCAGGGAAAGGCAGGCTCTAGACCTGGACTTTGTGGGTTTGACCCTTACCAAGCTAGAAGTTGTCCCTTAACAAACATTGTGCTTGCCAAACGTTTCTCCCTCTGGCTGATGCATCAATATGGACAGAGATCAAGGAACAGTCTTTGTTATTTAATTCCTCTGCCCAACACATTTCTGGGGCATGCAAAGCAATTAAAACAGAAAAACACTGAAGTCTTTAATTCTGTTGTTCATTAGCACAGTGCAGTTCTATTCACTTCCTCCAGATATAGATGGGTTTAATGAGAAAATTAATCAAGCCGATGGTCTTCCTGCTCTGCAACGGAAGACACAGCACATCTCGTCTACCAGGTCATGATGCTCTGGTGAGGCTGGACCCTATCCCATGAAAATCCCCTGCACCTTTTAAGGAGGGAGCCAACAGAGCAATGTTGGAGCCTCTCTTCTTCCAACCCCATTATGTGGCCTCAGCCATCATCTGCTTCTGATAACAGCGCAAATATGTCACAAATCCTTTCTTAACCTCAATTCTTCAGCTGAGGCAGGGTGGAGAATTATTGGGCATTATGACAAGTTTTATTTAATTTAGCAGAAAGTGGTGGACAACAGTTTTGTTTTGCTTGTTTGCAGGGCGTAGGCCCTTTTCTAGACCATGCTTTATTTATTTCTCTTGCCATTGTGTTTTAAGTACTGTGCGAGCAGCAAGAACAATTGGGTGGGGGCTGATTATTATAATTATTTCCACTATTAGTAATTAAATACATCAGAAAGACAATTCATGTTATTTTTCAGCATGTGCTATCTCTTTCAGCCCTGCCAGCTGTCATCACAGCAATTTCCATGCCAACATCTCAGCAAAGTACCAGCATTTCCAGCAAAAAGGATTTTGCTGCGATTTCAGTCTCCCCCCAGTGCAAGGAAATCAGAGAAACCTGCAACATCATGTATGTATAAAAATGGCCTAGGTGAGATTGTTGTTGCTGTTCTATCACATGATTTATTAATACTTTTTTTTCATCGTTTTATCCTTGTTTTCTACATTTTGTTTAGCTTCCCCTCCTTCTCTCCAGAATCAGACAAAAGAATTATTACAGCAAAAAGATACCTGCTTTCTTAAGCATACTGAAATTGTATGTAGCCATAATAAAATTTGAGTTACGGGATCATGTAGAGAGGCTCTTTGGTCCAGAACTAAAACAACTGTCTCCACTTCCAGTCTTTCTGACAGCAAAGCTCAGCAGAATGTCTGCCTCAGTTAACTCACACCTTCCACAGCCAACCAGCTCACCTGATACTTGCAAATGAATAAATAAAGACATTTTCAGTGCAGTGACAGACTACAGGCAAAGGCAGGCAAGACAGGAGACAGTGGAAGTTGACCTTAAAAGCAGAAAGGAAAGGACGTCTTACGTGGAAAAGGCATTGTTCTGTTTCTCACATCGGATCCCCTTGCAGTTGTTGGGTTCCTCCGAGGCACTGGTCTCGTAATAAAAATAAAGCTGGTTCAGTCCATTGGCGAAAGCCAGAAGCACCAGACAGTAGATAAAAAGGAATTTAAGGATGTCTAGCAGCATGCGTCCCAGAGAAATCTGCAAGGGTCCCAGGTGTGAATTTGCTGTAAACAGGGATATGAGGCGCAAGGAGCTTAAAATGTTGGATATTGCAAAGAGGGCTTCTGCAATGAGAGTCGGGTGCCACATTTCCCACTCCTCCCTTGGACGAGAACCATTATACTGAAAGAAATAAGAAGGGTATAAAAGTGAATTATGTTGTAACTACAGTGAGGCAACTCAAAAAGTCACCCCTGCTAATACTTATTTATGCTTCACATGTAAATAGCAACCAGGTACTGGTGACACAAGTACTTATAAAACCTTAAGTCTCAGCTACTGTCAGACTAACATTCAGGATTCAGGATTGAAGCTGACTTGATCAAGGCAGAGATTTAGGTTTAATGATGCCTTCTTATGAACAATCCTTACTAGATTATGGCCCCTGATATGGATAGTTGTGGGACCAGCTTTTCTTTAGAGGCTTCTGGTATGTTGGCTGTTCTTAGCCTAAATTTAGAAAGCAGGACTTTTGAATTTTGAGTTCACCGTTTGTGGGTTCTTCAGGTCCATGGGTTCATACACAATCTCCTTCTCTTTCAACATTTAAAGGGGCTCAGACTGCCCGTTAGCACGTTTGGGTCGGAAATGTCGAATTACCTTTTATACTATTTCCTCCTAAATGACTGCACATTCAAAACACTGCACGTTCCAGGAAGAATGTGAGGGAGGGAAGAAGGAAAGCAATTAACTATTGAGCATAAAAAGTGGATGCTTTCCTTCCCCAGTAATCTCAAAAAAGTGCCAACAGTCCAAAGCTAAAATGCTTTCTTCATATTAATTTTCTTATTAGTTAATTTGTCATGGCAATTTTAGGAGACTTGCTAAAGCAGAGGTCATAATTACAGCCAAAACACTGGATAAATTTGAGTGCATCAATTATAACGTTAATTTGGTTCATAATGTAACTGTAAAAGCAGAAGCATTTTCTGAGCAAAGTGCAGCCAGATGCAAATACGTAACACAAAAGAGCTGTTGTACAAATTTAACTACTCTGGCATAACTACACTGGCATAGCAGAACAGAGTCAAAGACATTTTCACATCAAGGAATAACTTTCCTTTTAACATTTGTCTCTGCTCATTTAACATGTATTAAAAGGCAAAAATGTACTGAGAATAATGTAGCTAACGGTGCAGCTAGTGTGTTTCGGACTCCTACAATTATTTTTGTACCATTGAAAAGGAAATGCTATCAATATCATACCAACAGATGAGTTTGCAGGGACTTTCTATTTAAATCTGAAGGTCCAATATACAAGCTCACAATTTTTTCAAGGACACAGCTAAAAGGAAGTTGATATTTCAAGTGATTTCTCTGTATGAAGGGGCTCAGACACGATACAAAGGCATTTCAGCATGACCTCTGATCGCCTCTGACATTTCCAAACTGTTCTTTATTCCACGAACATCATGGCCTGAGCCAGTTAACTTGACTTGAAGATGGGTCTTAAAATGTTTACAAACAGGCAGACATGTTAACTTTTTGGCAGTATCCAGCAGTGAGGGCGGATGGTTGTGACCCAAAAGCCTCATGCCCTGCCCAGAGAGATTTGCACAGTGGTTTGCAATTCTCCACATGCTGGCTGGATGCAGCAGCCTGCAGGCTTTCTGCAAGGGTTTAGCATAGGCTGCATGGAAAGGGATGTGAAAAGGTCTTCTCTGTCTCATATCTATTTTTAAAGCAACTTGTTAGGGTCATATTTTGGCCCTTTATAAACTTATGGTATATCCTTTCTTGGAAAATAGTGGTCTCTTCAGAGCAGCCTAGCACATCATAGGTAATGGAGAAACGGAAGATTTCAGAGGTATCTAATGGAGCTGGGGATCTGGGAAGTCTGGAGTTGTTCAGGTTAGGATTCAGAAGGTGAAACACAGCAGAAATATAAACAGAATAATACAAATAAGTTATGTCAGGCAGTCACATTTACCCTTCCTCATTACAAGATAATTCAATGCCACAAGTGAAAACTGTTTGAGAAAGTCTTTTTACCCTATAATTAGCCAGAAGATTTCATTGATATTGAACAATATTAGGGTCAGGTCTTAGAACTAATCAAATCAAGAAAGAAAAAAGTCTCCACGTAAAAACAAGGATGGAAAACATTAGTGTCAGTATGCAATTTATTTTTCTGATATTTGGCAGAAAGCTGAATGTCTGTGTAATCCTTTGAGGTTTTAAGAAGTGTTAGAATATAGTATATTGGCATATATACCACCTTTTTCCAAGTCGAGGCTGTTCTATAAATAACAAAAGCCTTTACAAGTCATGTTGCAAAAGGTTTTGAAGCCATTATCAACGTTATAAATCCTCATGTTTCAGAGCATGCTGCAACCCCTAAGTGACAGAGGTCAGAAGGGAACTTCTGCGAGCCCGCTGTTTCAGAACTACTCCTATTTAAGATTTTATGCACCTCTCAGAATTGCCTGACATTGGTCCTCATCAGGAGACCTCAGATCAGGCAGGTTTAATCCAAGTGGGTCTGATCTCTACTCTAACAGCTATATTCCTGTATTCTTTTGTGTGCTGGCATACAGGTCTTTGTCGTTAGCCTAAGTTTGTGTGGCTCCTACAAAGTACATAAACAAAGCTGTACATCCTTTGTAGATGGAGTTTGGCGATGAGTTTAAATCTCAGTGTGTGGCTATAAATCTGTGGATGCACAGCTCTTCTGGTAGTTTGTGTATGAGAAAGAGAAAGCAAGATTGTTAACATCTTAAGATTTGTTGGTGAATCTTCCGATTTCCAGCATTTTTCTGTATTGCTCACAGTTTAAAGACCAATCTTTCAAGTCTCTAATTTCCTCACTGGTTCTAAATGTTGGGAGAAAAAAAAAGATGTAATCTGTTCCTGCTTTGATGCTGTTACAGAGCTGCCTCTTAGGAGCAGCAACTATCTTAAAGCTTTTCCCTTTGAAAAACCAACTCACTGCTATGCAGCCTTCTGGATTTTAAAAAGTCCCCATAGCAGGACTGCTTGCTAAAGGGTTTTTTATAAACCTTGCCATTTCGGAGTCAGTGAGCTTTGTGAAACTCTCTCCAGTTTTCCCCTCTGCCTGCAGACAGGCTTGGGCAGGACTAAACAAGGTTGCTTTGGGGAAGTCCTCGTCCTGGTTATTAGGAGCTGGGCTAAAATAACCCTTCTATCAGGGCAAACCCAACACAAGAGCACAGCAAAACTAGAAAGTACGTATGTGGCCAAGGAGGAGACTCCAGTTATTTGATATTCACCTGTGTAATTACACTAATGGTAGTGAAGTTACTGCCGATTCCTACCAAGAAAAGAACCAGCCCAAGCACGCAGCTCCAACTGAGGGCAGAGAGAGCCACTGAATAAGGATGTTTGCAGGTGGCCATTTGTGTCTTCTCTGTGTCTTTGAGAGACAGAAGGAAAGTGCTTCAGGCCATCCTCTGGCTTCAAAACATGTGCATAGGCTGACTTGGAGCATCAACAGTTTCTAAATGTGGATGGAGCCTTTGAGGAGGAGCTCTGCTGTGCATTCTCATCACAAATGGAACATGACAGTGAAGAAGCTACAAGGTGCTAAAGATCCAACGTGCTCGTCATTTCCTTGCATATAGTTTAAAACTATACATTGAGGAGGAGATGTGGACTCCTTTATATCGGACAGAAGTCTCCTACCAGCAGGTTTCCTTTTCTTAGTAGACTTTTCACAAACCCCTGGAAAGTACTCTACCAGGGGCTCATGAACTACAGAGTATAAATCTTGGCTGTAGATGTTTTCAGGTAACCCTACTCTTGTCTTTCCTTTACTGGTTTATTTAAAAATCATGTTTTCACTCTGTGTAGCATTGTTGAAAAAGGTCCAGCATCGATATGGGAAATAAAATGTATCTTTGGCAACTGAGTAGCTACAAAATGGGCAGCAAGTGGCGAAACTTCCACCCAATGCCCAGGACAAGAAGGAAAATAATTCTCCAAACAAATTAATAAGCTTTCCTGATGAATTTTCAAAACTGGACTGCTTGAAAAGCAACTTTCTCTTTGACGTGCAATTTTGATTTTGACAGTTTCTACTCTGTGTACTACAGTTCTCACATGCAGGTTACAAATCCTCTCTCCCAAGTTACTGTACCTTGACGTAGGCAACGATTTTAAGGGAAATAGTTGCAAGATAGAGGGAGTTCATTGCAAAATCCATCAGATTCCACCAGTCATGTACGTACTCATTGAATCCACCATCCCACATTTCCTTTATTTCTCCCCAGATAAAACCTGTAGGAAGAAAGAGAGTTCATTGTCATGGTGAGGCATTATTTGCCAGTAAACCACTGTGTATATCTGATACAGATAAGTGTAATACTGCTGATTATGAGGCATTTTACAACTCTGTGGGGAATGCAGCTGACATGAAAAAGACCTAGGTTTCCTATCCAAGGCTCCAGATATACACATAAGGAGACTGCTTGAAACATACGTTAATTATAACGAGTATGAGCGGTTTGGGTCAGATGAAATTTGTTCTACATGAATAAACTATTTAAGCAACTGTATTTGGCACAGTTTCTAATAGATTGTCTGCTCTCATAGAAACTAGCAGTAATTCACTGCTCAGTTGGACAGTGCTGATTTTTTCTGACTTTCTCTGCAGAACGTGCGACACAAGTACCAGCTTCGGTGTGCCAGTACATTTCCTTCCTGACCTGGAAATATCACACCAAAGCAGGAAGGAGTGGATTAATTCTCTCTGCACAGTCACTGTATTTATTCATCTTGCTGCACAAAAAGCCCATAGGGACTAGCTGGGGAAAGAAAAGGTAGGACTCAGCATGAAAAAAGGCACTGCAGCCTGGCGTTGCATCTCTCAGCAGTGACTCACCTAATGTCAAATCTGGCTATGGGTTTTGCGAGGTGAGTATTTGTTCCCGAGGATATGGCCAGAGCCCATCATCTCAACTCCAAAATGCCTTTTGGTAATAATTTTTGGCACTTGCTAACCTCCATTATACTTCCTTGCAGCTGGAGGGGTGCAAGGCAGCTTCTGAAGTTCCTTACCAGCCTGCTAAACCTGGCATGCAATTCTAAGTAACTTTTATGTCCTTTATTGTAGAACTGTGTAAGTATTTTTGAAAGCCAAAGTCCCATTAAAAAGCAAATGGCAGCTAGACTCCTTCACCACCTACACGCTTCCGAGAATGTCTTCAGAGCCCCCAGATATTTTGAATAGGCCAGTTTACAACATTATCCTTGAACGAAGACCTGAAACATGTGTGCAAAGAAAAACAAACCAACAAAATACACCTCCAGGTACATTACCAGTACAGTTACCCAAACTGCTACCCATTCCTAACCACGGGATACTGCAGTGGTCACTGAAATGCTACTTGCAGCTCAAGTTTTAGGACCTGAAAGTTCAAGCTGAAGAGCAGATCATGTTGAAATGAACTGTTGCAATCACCCAAATATCAATCTTAACTCTTCAGCTGCCAGCCTGAGCAGGTCAATGGTCAGGCAAGCATAATGTCAAGGCCAATAAGGTAATTTTATTACAGCTGCCTCCAAATCTTTGCATGCACACAAAACCACAAAATAAATCAACGGAGAGGAGCCTGTTGAAGAACTCATACACTGTATTTATAGTGAGTTATCGTTGCTGGTTACTATAGTTACAGCAATGCTGTGTGTGCCTGTTCTCTTTCTCTTTTTATAGTGGAAGATATTTCTTAAATAATAACCTTTAATCTGGTGAAACTGTTCTAATTTCTCTATTTAATAAACAGTCCCACAATATCCCTGTTTATCTGAAACAAAGGAACTCGAGAAGACAGCTGTAAGAGGTGATTTTGAAAGGATTTTTAAAATGGATTATCCTTCTTTCATCTGCAAATCAGTTTTGCTGAAATGCCTACTATTTCCCTCAATTTTAACCATGAAGTTAAAGTGAAGAGATCACCTAAGCTCAGAAAAGACATTTAACCTTCTCAGCTTATTCTGAAGTTTCTACCAACACATACATTTCAATGCCAAAAATGCCAGAAGATAACGAGGTTTGAGTTACCAATTGTAAGTTGTCGTAGAGCTATGCAAGGAGCAAAGTGCCCTGGGTCACAATGGAAAGTGATTTGTCAATATGTTTGCAACTCTTAGTTTCTTTCAACATTTTTTATCAGTATTTTTAGGTTTGGCACAGGGAACAGCCAGGTTCATTCAGCACAGAACAAGCCTGATTCAGAGCCACCACAGAAACAAGGAGCTGGGGCCCAGTGAACACAGACACCACCTGTCTTTTCACCGTTGTGGTTGCCCAAGCCAGACCAGAATAAGAGCTTCACATTTAACTTTCTGATAATAAACACTGCCTCCTTCTCCTGCTTATGCTAGAGCTCTCGATATTGATTTAGTCAGTGTTTATCAGCACAGAGTAAGATTTATCTTCCCTTTTCTGCCTTACTTTGGGCTATCTGGGAGTCTGGGAGCACAGGAATAAACAGGTCTGGTACCTGCACACTGATCAGTGAGAAGGCGACAGAAAACACAGGCTCTGAGCGCTGCCTCCTGCCACATACCAGCCAGCAGAGCTAAGCCAGCATGTGAAGTGACACTATTTGTCACTAGCATGACCCAGAAGCTAATTCCTAACCCACTCCTCACACAGAGCATGGAGGAAGCAGGGAGAAAGCCGTGTCTGCTGCAGCTTACTCAGGGTCATGTCTAAGGGCATGTCAGATGGCAATATGAACAGCAGAAAAGCCCTAGGCCAACAGAATCTGTTGTTCCAGAAGGAGCCCAGCTGTTTTATGCAGTTACTGAAGCCAGCTGCCAAATCTCTTTACATGCAGATGGTGCTGAGATCAGAAATAAGTCTGCCATGGGTGCGAGTCAGGTGTCCGCGGCTCAGGCATTTTTGTGTTTCTGCTTTACCTAGAACCCAGGGCAGGATCATCCACTCCACGATGGTGGGAGGTGGCCCCTGCATGTGAAGGTCAGTCCTGACGATGTGCTGCGACGCCAGCAGGAGCATGAAGAGGAAGGTTAGGTAAGAGCCGGTGTGGCAGATAAACTTTATAAATGGCTTTTTAATGAACAGTCCCAGCCTGCTTTTCGGTGCAATCAGGTATGCCACGGATAGCACAGGAAATAGCAGTCCAATGGTGACACAGGTCAAGAGTTTTACTGCCCAATGTTTCCGCCTCCATCCTGGAAAACCATCATACCAAAGTGTTGCTAGTAGCTGCTGGCAGTTTGGCTGAGCAACAAACTGAGAAGGAAAAAAAAGGAAAGATTATTATTGACTGGTACTTCATGTGCACTCCCCCTCACATATGTGTCAGAGCCCACACAGACCCTTATATTAAGTTTGGGCTGGCTATGGGGTGGAAAAGTGTATTTTGGAGATGAGGGGAAGAAAGGAGGGAGATTTCGCTCCTGTTTTTCTACATAGGATTTCAGTTCTCTGAGGTTTTTTCTATCTGAAGCATCCGTATGTAGATCAGTCACTCACCACACATGAAGCCTTGTGCGAAAGTGATACAACGAAAACTACTACGAGCTTTTTCCCTTTCCATGTGTTTCTGTTTCAGCATATTCTTTTTCAGAGTGTTTCATGTTTCAACTGGCTCAAACAAATCCCTGTCAGCATCTTTAAGAAGTGACTAAAAGATGTGACAGGAGGGAAAAGGTGTAAAGCTCTAAGTGTTTGTGAGAGAGGCAGAGTGAACGTCTCCAGTGTGAAGTGTGTGGGGTGCAGCACGTAGTTAATGTATAGCATATGTGTGTGTGGGCTGGCCTGGCCATCAGACAGCACGCGGTAATGTGAAGGTCAGCCAGGTGGTATCTGTTAGGAAGTGGGATGGCACATTTGTAAATGTGCCTTGCTGTTAAGGAAGAGAGCAGTTGTAACATGGAAGAGATTAAGCAGAGGTAAAAAGAAACCTTTGATCACAGTACCAAAAGAGAAACTGTAAAGTTAACTTTCACTTTGTAAAAAATAGCATTATGATGGTTATTTATTGCATCTCAGTGACTCCACACCAGACATGCTCAGGTTGCAGCTACTTCAGGCTGTTCTAATACCTGACAGCCCTCGGAATTTCACACTCAAGCCAAAATATCTCTGGTCTATGCCATAAGACTTTGTGTTCCTGATAATACCTGGACAGCCACAGAGGTTTTGAAAACTTTTCACACCCATAGCTAATTAGAGATGTTGGCAAGACCAAAACAACTGTGTTTTTCTTTACATATATGATTTCTAATCCGTCTTAATGAAGTTATATATCTGATCTCCTAAATTCAAATTTCTCACTGGGCTCTGCAAGCTGAAAAGAAAATCTCACCTACTGTTCTGAGGATGCTTGTAATACTTATTTTGCTGTAATTATATCAGAAAAAGTGCCCCAGCATGGATACAGTTATTGATAAACATGCTCCTGTAGCAATATAATTTCATCTATGATCACAGCTATGTCAGGAAGAGTCACTCTTTGCATGGACACAATCATACGAGCAGCATTTATCTGACAGACAAAACCTCTGATAAAGCCGACTCAAAGCGGTGAGTAACCTGAAGATGACAGTGCTGTTTCTTACACTTGGCTCATCGATATATAAAAGGGGTTTCTGGGAGGGATGTAGTGCCACCATGCAGGAAGGATTTTATCAGGCAAAGCACTCTTTCACCACTGCAATTTAATCCAGTTCTTGAACGACTATGCCACCGTAACAAAGGGACCGGTTCTGAATACAAGTTACTGTTTTGCCACCCCTAGTTGTGAATATATTTTACATGCTGTAACAGGCTGTTTATATCAGAATTAGACCATTTTTGGACTGGGTAGTTCAAATATATGGACGAAACAAAATTAGTAATGAAAACACGATCTCCAAGAGGAATATCTGGCATTTATGAAGCTGGATGTTTATGTGTTATTACTATAATAAACAGGACTGCTGCATTTAACATACAAGTGACACCGTGCTCCAGAGGGCATCAGAAAACAAAATCAGAAACTCATTTGATTTGTAATCAACCTACACATGCACACAGCAGAAACTGGACACCAGTTGATGTGGTGAGAATCTCCAGAAAAGGCCAAGACCTGTTCCCTGTAACAATGAGAAAATGTTACTGTAAAATTCTAAGTCTGAGGACAGTGGGGAAAGAAAAAATACTACAGAAACTGAAAAAACATCAAGCATTGCTTGTCATTTGCTTGGGTTTTAATCTGTGATTTCAGAAGGGTCAGCGTGTTATGTCTAAAAGCTGGAAGAAACAGAAGGTTACGCTGCTGTATTTTCTCATTTAAGATCACAAACAGGAGCTGTGACCGGATGCGTTCTGCAGTAATTTACATGGTAACAGATACTGCTGTTTCTCAGAGATGAGAACAACTTTTTTTTCTTTTTTTTGAGGGGGATAATGTATAAACACATTTTCTCTTTATCACATATGATAGAAAGCTCTAAGGGGAGAATAAAACTGTTTTTCCCTTGAGTCAAAGTCAGAGTCACTTGAGAAATCAAATGACTTCATGTTCTTCTGGTTGCTGTGCAACTTGCAAGCATCTTAAAAGCGCCTCTTCTCCGCCTAATAGCTCATTTCTAAAATCTGTTTTCTGTGTTGTATCTAATGTTAGTTCTTCAAATGGAGAGAAATTCACACATCATGAAAGAGCAGCTTTAAAGACCAGCTTGGCAAAAGAGAATGGAAACGGAAAAAGCCGTTAGATTTTCCAATCAAGCCCATTGCAACCTCACTGAAAAAGGCCTAAGGGAAATTTAAGCACACCACAGAAAGAAACTCTCCTTAATGTCTGAAACCATCAAATGCCATCTTTATTACGGGTAAGGCTAAGCACTTACTGATGTAGACTTTTCCTAACTCGTATTAGTCCAATTTATTAATCACAGATTTAAAATCAGTAAATACTGCAGCTTAGATCTCAAGTGGTGCAAGGACTACAGCTGACTGAAAAACAAAATTTACACTATACAGAAACACTGGAATTCTGAATTATAACAAAGAAGTCAACTAAGCCCTGGTGGGCTGTCTAAAAAACCAATTGCTTTACAGTAAGTTTGTGTTAACTTGTAAGAATCCAGAAATCAGCTATTTCCCTACGTAGTCCTGTGAATGCTGGCCTCATCTTTGTTTCTAGGTGTTGTTACCTAGTCTAAACCATCAAATTCATTGACTAAACCATTGAATGCTCAAGTCATTAAAGACTGTCTAGGATTCATACTGCAAAATCAATGAACATAAAATATAAAACCAAGAAAAAGCTCAGCTTTAGTCCTCTTAGGTGTGAAGTAGTCTGGAACTGTAATAATGCTGTGGAACTTTTGTGATCATCCGTAATTTCAAATTTATTCATAAAGTTAAGGAAACAATATTATTTCTACTTTGCAAATAAAACTGTGATCTGGAAAAGCAAACTGACTTCTCCAACACTACTTATGCCAAGACCTTTCCTGAGTACAAGTTCAATTTCCATGTAAGTAGGGTCCCAAATATGTTTTTTCACCTTTTTGCAAAGCCTTTCATTTGTCATAGATAGAAACAGTGCATGTTTATATTACAGTCTTGTATCATTTCACATGACCATGTGACAGGATTTGGTATCGGTTACAATTTCTGCACGATGAAAAGGAGAGATCGTGATAATTTAATAAGTGCACATTGTCCCAGGTTTGTACATGTCCGGAATCAGAGGCAGAGGTGCTGTAGCAGAAGCTCTGTATTTGTTTAAGATGAACAGATGACTCGCAAACAGTGAAATTTCTCCAATATATAAGCACAGTATCGAGCATTGTGTTTCAAGGATTGTTGCATTATAGGAGCCTCCACTCTATGACAAATGGCAGCACAAGACATCATCCCACAGATGTGATCGAGAATGCTCTGACAGTCGCATTAATGAAAATAAATGCTGCCAAAAGGTGGCATCTATATTCAGTTCAGCTAATGTACGAAGTATTCAATGCTACGAAGCCTGTGGTAGTGCTGGCATTGTCCCTACCTGTAGACAAAGCCTGTAGATGCATTTCAGGGGCAGGTGATCCAGAGAGCAAGCTCCTTCTTCATTACCCATTGAGCAGAACCTGTCCCTACCTGAAGACACAGTTCACTTAATGCCTAGGAGATAATATGCAACACAGAGTACCTTCTTCTGAGGACACCACCACCGTGTCACCAGTGGGCAAGATGCTCAGCCTCCTGGCTTCTGAAAATGAGGACAGGCATCTCTGCCTTTCCAAGAAGTGAGATCAGCAAATTCAGTCACGGTTGGGAAGCACTTTGAGGGTAGAGGCTACTGCAATACAAAGTCTTTTATGTTCTCTCTTTCTTCCTTCATTCTTGCCAGGGTCTTTGTGTAACATTTGGCTTGCAGCTGGATCGTGCTATTAGAGAATTTCATTTTCAATATTCATCATCCTGTCACCTGATCCTCTACCAAGTGGAAAATTTTGAAGAGGAAAAAAAGAAGCTGTTTGGATGGAGTGTCTTTTTCTTAATATCTCATCTTTACTGATATTTTTATGTCACCTAAATTCTACTTCTCAGGAAATAAATGCTTTCTGCATGTTGTGCCATTAATATAAATATCAAACACAGAAATTATGTTCCACCCCCCCTCCCCTTATCTATGGGGAAATCCCTTATCTCTCACAGTCATAAGTAATTTAGGATCAGACACAGATGGGCTGAGATGTGAATGCCTCGGGGAGCAACTGAAATAGCTCCCTGATAGACATCAGAGGGGCTGAGCACAGTAGCTCTCAGCATTTTTTCTGATTATCGTGAAGGCTGCCAACAGGCTCTTGTGTTTGGAGTTTGTTGGATTTCTTTTCTGTACTCTTGCTGAGGATGGTGATAGCGAATGCTCTTCATAGATGAATAAGCACTAATTTGTAACTGCAGCGCCCTGTGTTAATAAGCAGGACCGAGTTCTTCTATCAGTCGGCTACATCAGCTCCCAATGAGGTTACCACTGAGAGCCAAATGTGGCATGGGAGCCATGAAATTCACTTTAGTTCCCCTGTCTGACACCAATTTCAATACGTTAGATCTCCCCAACAGCGCTGCATCCCACAGCATCTAAAACATGGCAGCTGAATACTTGCAAGGTTACTCTGTTTGAGAATATTATTATATGCTGCTCCCCTCTACAATTAAAGCTACTTTGACTTTGGAAAGGCAGATTTCCATATGAACCCAGCTAGATTTTGCAGTCTGTGTGACAATGAGGCAACTGCAGT